AGTGTCGGTCAGGAATTTACACGTAGTCCATTCGAACACAGCTCTAACTACCTTAATCCGTTTCGTGGATTAAAAATCAATTCGACCCTCTGGGAGCCTCTTAAAATTCTCGTCGCGACACTCTCAAACTCTTTTTCTCTCTCTCTTCGGTCGCGATGCAGCGTCTGCAACCGCGACTGCAGTGAGTCGTAAGAAAACCAGTAGAGTCGCACGTGCTCCCGTGGTAACGGCTGCCCAGGCACCGACTGATTTCACTATTTTATTAGATTAGATATTCACGGCCTAGAGGGAGGGCCCGAGTAACAACTGTCGACCGAAGGGAACGTATTAAAGCGGGACGAAACCGACGTTTTCACGACACGTAAAACCTGGGAGTGGAACTGCGCTTGAAAGGTATTGTTGCACCTTTACTGCGCGATGTCGCGTCGAAAAATCGAACCGTCCCGTCCCCCTTTTACCCACCTTCCTAGCTCGTGCATTTTTTACCTGTGTCCGCTTTTTCTGACGCAACGTTCCCTGCCGCTGGTGTTGTTATCTCCACGACAGGATCGAACGGTTTTTTTTGTTTGTCAGTTCGTGAAACGTACAGAACGGTTGTGTGATGCGTGAAAGTATATTAAGGCTTTATTCCGTGATATTTAGTGGACGTTCTGGTATTGGTAATTATATTATTACATTCGAGGATATTCTAATTCCTTGTAGCCATTCGATTGAGATTATAGGGTAGACACTTTGGTAGAATGAACATTTTGAATATAATGTTCAGTGTTGTGGTAATAAAAGAAAACTCCACTTTCGACTACTTTTGTGTACTTCACAAATTTAACAAATTTGACCTGTGTTTTCTGGAGTGAGCAATTCCCGGTCGGATGTGGACGTACGTATGTACATACGTACATACGTCTGGTCCGATCCACAGCTCGATTTCACCGCAGTTTCCGGGAAATATGTACTTCTGAGCTTACACCAGCCGATCGAACCTTGTCCAACCGCGACTTTCGCACGTTCCTGGCCACGTTCGATACGACCAGCAATCACGCTCGCGCTACCCACGGAGTACGTGCTTCCCGACTTTCCGTCGAGCTTTGGCGCACTCACTCGCTCGCGACGACCACTTTCCCGGCGTGCCTACATCGCAAACAAGCTGCGCAAAAAGTTTTCCGACGCATTTTCTCGGCTAGAAACAGTTGAAGCACTGAACAATTGGTTACGTTCTTTTGCAGTCCAGAAACCAAGGTGTGGCGCGCAGTAGAATGAGTCTGTTTTGGTCAGACATGTTTCCATAACACTTTGACTGCCACGTCAGCCAAATACAGTTACTCACAAGTTTGTTTATAAAAGGCTGTTACTTCTATTTCATTAAATTATTTATTAATACGTTTCTCCGCGTTTAACACGTTCACTAGATCCGTTTGCTCGATACTTTAGAAATGTTACAAAAGGGGCTGGTTGATACACTGAATGTTCCACGCAAAGTGTTATTTTCTCTTTTCTTTCTTACATTTTTATGCCTTATAGTTTTTATCTGAATTATGATTAATTAATTGTATTATAATATGGTCTTTCTGTTATTTGAATGTATACTGGTCTCTATGAAGCTGTATTGCAGCGACCGTGTTCGAACGGAACACAAACGATATCATTACCACGATCGCTTCAGCCACAAGTAGTAATACTCAATAACGATCAGACGTAATACCACTCTGCGATCCAAAGTACAGGTATCTAACGAGTTCTCGAACTCAACTTCGTCCAATACTAATGCCTCTAGAAACAAACGTTATTCTATAAGCTGGACTGATTAATTCACATACAACTAACTCTTGTCAAGTTACACTGCCCACACATTTGTTCATCACATACATCTGAAATAACAATTAGTTGCCAAACGTTCCACCACGAAATCAATTGTTTCGCGTCAGAGATCCTGGTGAAAGGGGAATGAACAGTAAGTTCGCGAAAGAGCTTCGTGGCTAATTGACAGTTTTCTGGCAGGCCCGTTGATTTTTCTCCGGGTCCTTGGATAAAATATCACGCCGCTAACGGCCGTTAATGAATGAAAATGAATGGGAAACGGCAGCGACGATGCTTCACCCGTGACACGGATCGCCATGCGATAACACCCTCGGGAATACTTTATGGGTGGCGAGCACGGGGGCCCATTTGTATCGCGACAACGGGAACGGTAAATGCCTCAACGTCGTTCATTCTTTCCCAGTACCTGTGATCGGTCAGTACATTTTTCGGTGGTTTATCCTGTCGAAAACATTTATACAGGATGTCCCTACTAGGATGATTCATACTAGGATGATTTGAAATAACTTTTTCCTAAGCGAAAATGTTACCTGAGGCTCTGTTAACGAGATATTAACCAATAACTTCGACCAATTAGAACGCGAGTCAATTTCACAACAATTGCCTTAAATACTACTTATATATGTACGAGTTAACAATATATTTGTAATAATATGTGCATAAATTTAGTAAAACATGGCTTAAATATTGTTCAGACTTATAACAATAAAAATAATTCCCTCTTCTGTAACTGGTAAATCTTCCGTACGATGTTCAAAGCTTCATATGGAATACTTTCATACATTTGTCGTCGAAATTTTCATTGCTGGGGACATGCGATAGATGTCGGACTCCTGTGGAGGGGTTGCGAAGCAGGATACATCACGAGTCACGAATTGTGATTCACGACATATTTGTGTGTGAAGAAAATAATAGATACGTGCTCTCATTCGCACATTTCACCCACCACTGCCATATGCCCGCGTGCTGCACGTTGTTGCCCGCTAGTGAGTTTGACGGGCGCTGAGTTGTCCATCACTGGGCTCTTAAGATAAATACTGGCGTCTCACATTGCTCATTGGACGACTAAGCGTGTTATTAAGAGGTTCGTTCGTTCGGGCCAGCTTCCCGGTACGAATTTAATGACCCAACCGCGCTGCGGAACGGCTTCCCGGGGTCATTTCAGTAAAGCTCGTTATCTCGTTAACGATCCATTCATCTATTCTGTGCTTCATCAAAACGGTCCGATCGGGCCGCCTACCGGTTCCTGCGAAGTGGCCAAAGTAAGTTATAGACGCCATGGATCCCCCCTTCCATGGAAGCGTCGATGATCGAGGGAACCCTCGAGGCCGAGGGACGACGAGACGTTCGCCACGACTTTACGTCGAATCGAATTCGATAATATTTTCAGCGAAACGATCTCCCCCTTGGATAGAAGGGACCTGACGAAAGGACCCTTTTCGGTTTTATGCGTCGCGATAAGGGCGTTTTCGTTAGCGCCCGTCGACGAAAGAAAAGCTACTCCGATCTCCTTCGTGATCCCTTAGATTCAAATTTACCGCGCGCTGCCTGATCGTACACGGAGTGATTTTTCGGATCGTAAATAAAAAGGGTGAGAGGATGTTTTGTTCGTGCGAACGAGGAAGGGGACATGGACGATCAATGGTCAGACGGGATTCACCTCTATTTCGCGGGTCTTTTCTGGAACAGGATTCACCCCTCGAGATCCTCGACCAATCGAGAATTTCTCTGGGAACGCGATGCATAATGCAAATATTTGATGCGTGAGGGTGAATTCTTGAGAATAGTAAATCAGTTTTTGAAAATTGTTGTCTACATATTAATACGTTGACTGGCACAGTGAAAACGGTCGTATGTAGTCAGACGCGTTTTATTTCGTTTTTTAAGTCGTAAACCGTCGAAAGTATATGCGTTTGATTAGTATAGGCTGTTGGTTTTCTTTGAAATTATACTGCGACATCAATTTTACACAAACATGTAAATAATTCAGCCTCTTTGCAATGTACGTATCATCCATGTTTGGACGACGTGGCAGTTAAAACGGTAAAGAGGTCGTAACAAGAATAGCCCATCTAAAACAATTCTACTAGTATTACAGTTAAGACTTTCTGAATTAATACTATGTTTCTCCTCGCATTCTAAATAAATAAATTAAGAAATTAAGAAATTATACTACATGCTACTTTCTATTCTTGGAAATTACGATTCCTCAATGAGGATCGTTCAAGTTTGAATACTTTTGATTCTATTAAAGTTACATGACCCTTAAAGTTTGAACACCTCTGATTTTATTAAACTTACATATCCTTTAAAGTTTAAACACTTTTCGATCTATTAAAGTTACATGCCCCTTAAGGTTTAGGTCTGGGTCACGTCCCTCGAGGTTACTCGTCCACCCCAAACTTTCGTGAAAATATACATATATCCATCCTTAAAAACTACCGACCCTCGAACTCCTCCTGACCTCTTTAACGACCTATCGTATCGCGGGTGCAGTCAAAGATCGATTCTCCGTCGGTGCTTTAGCGGTGCATGGTGCAGAACAGCGCGTAACAACAGCAGGGAGCGTTTTTTACATGCGGAACGCTTGTTTTTTTTTTTTCTATGCGTGTGTGTTGTGCGAATATACAGGGTGAACCACGAATCCTGATCAGTAGAGATTACTCAGTTATTAGCAGTCCGATCAAGAATGTTTTTATCAGGTATAGCATGGTTTCAAGAGAGCTTTAAAGTGATCATAGCAAATTTTTTGTCAACTCTTCTTTCTCATGATTTTTCCAGGTGATCTTCTTTCAAAAATTCAATTAAAAAAAAAGGTAGCACATGTTATGTTATGATACTTACCGAATTCGTCTTGAAATCCTCTAACAGACACGCGTAAAAAAATTATAAATGTATTTGCAAAAGATTGAAGATGATCTTGAAAAGTCATGAAAAAAAGAAAAGAGTTGACGAAAAATTTCTTATAATCACGTTAAAGCTCTATTGAAACCATGCTATACCTGATAAAAACATTTTCGATCGGACTGCTAATAACAGAGTAATCTCTACTGATCACGATTCGTGGTTCACCCTGTGTATAGGCGGGCAAAATCGGTGAAGAAAACACTGAGAGACACGTGAGTGAAACACGAAAGAAAGAGCCGGGAGAGGGAGGGCCAGAGATGAGAGAATGCAAGCCTCACCTGTGCTCTGGCCACCGCGTAGCTTCTGCTCTGGCCTCTCGACCCTCTCCTCGCTCGGGGGAGGTGGCCGCTCTGTCCTTTTCGTATAGTACGGGTTGTACGAGGATGGCCAGACGGTGGTCGGCCTTTTTGCTGGTGACGGCGTGCTCGGTCGTCCTGAAAATAGATTAGGACCTTTCTCATCTAACCCAGCCACTCTCTCCGTTCTCCTCCCGTCTCCTGGATCCTGTCTTTCTCTGATTTTTTTGTTAAACATCTCCCTCTATTTTGTCGTTGTTCGCTTATCTATTTTTCTCTTGGTTCCCCCCCCCCCCCCCCCTTACCTCGTCGATGTCCAGTCGTTCTTTCTCGCGCGCTATTCCGCACCATACAAGATTACACGCTGGAGCGTCTTATTTTTTTCTGTTTTTTCTTCTCTAAATATCATTTCCCGGTGCACTCTAGTTACGTTCCTCGGTCATCTATCGTGTCTTGTACGGTCTACGATATCGATCGGTGAAACAGAACCGGCCAAAAGTGTGGGGCCAGGTCTGATAATTAAAGAAAGAGAAGAATATTATTCTACAACGATTTGGTAACAGTAATGTGTCTACTTCTAGATTGTAAAAGTAAATAGTAAACTACCGATTAGTATGTATTAATAAGTCCAAGTGAAACCAAGAGCATCGCGTAATAGCCAGATGATTAATATTTATTAATACTGACAGTATCACTGACCCTTGTAAAACCCGCTTAACACAGCGTACAGAGGATTAAAACCGTGTCGACTGTTGCAGATGCTACAGAGCTTCCGGATTCAACAATTAATTATCTAATAAGCATAACGAACAGCAAACTCATTCCTTAATAGGTTAATACGATTCTAGCCAACGAACTAATTGAATCGAATAATCGTTCAATTCCTCGCTCGATGACAAGGAATGTTGATGTGGTCCAATTCACCGAACGAGGAACAGAAAATTTGGGAAAGTTTATGAATACCGAGGTATACCCTCCCAAGAAAGAACTTTCGAAAAATGTGTTAAGAGAACTATCATCGGGCAGCTGGGTAGAGAGAGAGGGAGACTTAAACTTCGACGAAACTACCTAGCGATCTGTTCCTCGCTCGATAATCCGTTCCCCGTTTCACCCTTCCGAACTTTCCATGCTTAAACGCCACGAAATTCTTCGCGTGGTATCGATCCCAAACTTCTTCCAGTATCGAAAATGGAACGCAACGCGGTGTACCGTCGACGAGCCTCGATTCTGCCGTTTCGACCGAAGAATCGAGCAGCAAATGTTCGTCTCGAGTCCTCGAATAATGGAAACGACGACGGAGTGTCCTCGATCGTTTCCGTAGGCGACAGAACGCGCGGCTGTTTCGAGTGGACGTGCTGAAAACAGCCGAGCCGCGGCGGTTTGATGAATTCCGGCAGCTTCTTTGAAAGCGAGCCAAGTTCAACTTGTTGCGTTCGATACCGGCGGCAGTTCCATTGAACCGTTCTTTACCAGGCGAAACAGAGACAGAGAAGAAAAACGGGGAAGGGGGGTGTTTCGTTGGGAGAAACGTTGGCTGAGAAGAATCGACTCGATCGTTTCGAATCGTCCGATTACCAAGATCGTCCGACAAAAAAAAAAAAAATCACGGTTAAGGTGGTTCGTGGAAAATTCGGAAGACTGGATAATTAAATGAAACTCATACTGATTGTTTATTAGAACGAAATACAAACACTTGAAAAATTTTGGACTTACTGAAAGTACAAATCCTGAGCTTTTTAATAATGAATTGAATCTTGTACCTTGCCGAATATTCCAGTAAGATATTTGACAATAAAGTGTTGAGGATATGGCAACTAAAAATACATTTTTTAAATATTTTACTTATTTTGTGTTTTAGTGAATTCTACTGTACTAATTTTATCTATAATATAATGATCATTGGAAATGTCGTTGAATTTCACAGATATAATTTTTATATGCTACTAAAATGTATTAGCGGTTGTTTAATACCAATTAGACATTCGTAGATAACTAGAGAGTCAGGTGTGAATCACCTTAAACGGTACCGGAAGTTACTCGAGGCGTACGAGGTTTCAATGGATTCGAGGATGGGTAAGAATGTAAATCGTCCATGGAATCGAAAGTATCGCGACAGTCCGTACAGGTGGGGGGATCGGGCGCGAGTGAATTTGAAATTCTTCTGGAACGCGGTCAGGGATCCTAGAGCCTCCGCGAGGATTTAAAGTTTTGGCCCGGTGAAATACGCTCCTCGAGCCCGCTTGAAAGTTGAAATTTCTTTGTGGACGATCCACGACGCGGTTCGGAGATTTTCTTGGAATTCAGTCGCATCGGTGCTTGAATTCTTTCTATTTGGAATGGGACTACCCTTAATTCCTGGACTTGTCCACTTCGGAATCTATATCATTTTTCGATTCGAGGATCTTGTAGAAATGTAAGTATCCTTCTGAAAGTCGTACAGCGTAAGTGACACGAGGAAAAGAAAGTTACTTGGAATTTATTACTTTCTCGTGTACGTATATTGGGGATTCTCTATCTCTAACCATTTTTAACACTTTGACTGCCAATCAATCAGATTCTATCGGATTTATCCTAACACGTTAGTACCTTTTGAATTTGTACTATTGGGAAAATATCCTGATGTAATATACCTATTTCAGTTTCGGCCATTTAGAATATTAATGCCCGTTGGTTTGTAAAGTCATTCACTCTACTGTTAATTATCGTTACAAGATTCTAAAGGTAACTGTTTTTTCTGTATGAAAGGAAAAACAAGACGAGCGTCCGTTCTGCTTATTAGAAACTACCACCTCCCGAGCAATCTTCGCGCGTGGCAGATTGGAACTTTGCTTAGAATGTAATTTTACGCGGAGCGCATCAACCGTGGGTGCAATACGAATTCATGCTCGACACGGGACCCGTATACCATTGTGTAACGTCGTTACCCTTTATAGACAGTCGCGTCCCGGTAAGATGGTTCCGCCACTTATTTCAGCCGCCCATAATCGACCGGAATAATCAAGCCGGTCCCACGTGTGCCCTGCGATTGTATAACGGAACGAAGTTCCTGTCGAAGTAACAAACGATTCCTGTTGTTACTGAACGTTTGAATTTTTTCATATTTCACGTACATACGTACTCGATCATTCTCCATTAACCCGCTATCCCATTAAATTTAGTTCTGGTTTAGTCCCATTTTCCCAACAACACCGAGGATCGGATCAATCGCGAAGGCACAAGAAATAATTAATTCCCAGGGCACCAAAGGAAGCTTTCGCCAGAAGTAAGAAGTCTGCTCCGTCTTTCGAACGCGAGCTCCAAGAATAAACAGCGAAAAACCCATCGTCTCAAGCGACATCCACACAATTAATTCCCTTCCGAGATCTCCGATATCCTCCCTCCCTCCCGCGGGCATCCGTGTTCCCCTACGGTGTCCAGAGCTTTTTCACGGGCGTAATTCCACTCTGCACCCCCTCCAACCCTTTCTATTCTTTCCGGTTCGCAAACAAGCGCGACCCTTTGGACCGTGTAGCGAGCGACTACGGCGGACGATGACAGTGGGAGGGTGCTAAAAAGTTTTCGAATAAAAGTTTAAATACGCCTGGAAAACTTTGCTTCGCAGCCCTCTGACCCTCTCTTCTTTCCATTCTGCACTCGACAATATGGCCGACTCGTGGCTCGCATCTTCGCGGCTAAGAATACGGGACATATTCTTGCGCTCCTGCACGAAGAACGCCGCGCTTCTGTACAGGGTGGTGTTTCCTTTCCGCAGGGGGGAGGGGTCGAGCAATCACGGCTGGCCCCGTGTTTCATCCGGTTTCGTCCGTAACCACCTTTTGTGCCCCCCCTGTTTTGTGGCCAACGCGAAGTTTGGGCGCGATTCGTTGAAAACTTCAGGGGTCTAGCTTCTTTCTGGTATTAAAAAGAACGAATTTTCTTTGTCGTGTTTCAATGAATTTATAGATTGTTTAGAATGTACCTGTAGAGTTTCCACAGATTTTGTAGTTGAAAAATTAGAAAATATCGCACTGTGGAACACGATCTTACAAATTCACAAATGCATTCTTACTGGTACACTCTACGTAATCCATTCGTTCGAAAACTGTCGGAGAATAAAATAATTACGTTTCTTCCCAGTCACCAGAAGAAGCCAGAGCCCTTAAGGGCGTTGTGTAACAGGAATCACTGTCGAGGGAGCCGAGGTAATCGCAGGTCTCTGGTTTATCCAAGGGGACAGTACTCTTTGCGTTTCCCACCTCCCATTCGGACGACCTTAAATGGAAAAGTTCAGAGGTCGCAGCGGTGGAAAATGGACGGGGCAACGTTCCCTTTCCACCTACGGCGGCCCTTAGAAATTAACCCTTTGTGCTCGCTGTGTACTTATTACACGGCCTGGCAACTGAAATCAAGGGATCCTCGGTCCGAGTCGAGTAATTAATTCCGTTTCTTGGTCCCGCGAGCCAGATTCGCGACGTCCACGACCGACCTTTTGGATATCGTTGTTCGGAAGTGATTTATTTCGAGTTGTGTCGGCAGCCGAGCTCGTTTTCGCGATACGCGATTACCAGTGACGATTGAGAGGAACCAGCCTGGTTGTTAACGACGGAAATAGCTACTGAATTTCTGACGAAACTCGGACTAATTTGCCCTGTCTTCACACGAGGCGAGACTCGGAGAAGAATGTCAGACGTGAGCTTCAAATAGAACACGTTTGATTGACACGTCGGAGATTCACAGACATTTTTTAATGGAAAGTGTCGTTTATTTTCTATGTTGAAACTAACGAGGAGTGAGAAAGTAATGAAGCTGAGAAGACAGGTCTGACGACAGCGGATTAATAAATATGTCAGTTATGGTGCAAAGATTTAATATTGAACGCTGTCATGCACGATGTCTGTGTTAACGTAACGAGTACGTTTAGTTTCCTTCAAGATGTTTAATATTTACTCGATGCCGTATGGAACGAGCATCGAAACGATTTACCCGATGTTACAGAAGCGTTCACAAACGCTCGTCACGATTACAAATGCAACTGTTAAACAGCGTCCGTAGAGCCACTGTTGTCTGGTACCAGCCACACTGGTTCAGTTAGGAATGGGAATTATTTAAACAGTAAACACGACTGCAACTTCGAAATAAGGTCAGATAGATCTAGTGTT